AGAAGGCTGAGGACCCAGATGCCTTAGCAGCCCCCAAAGAAACAGTCACCCTGCCCGCCGGCCCCGGTAAGTTCCCGCTGGGGCGGCCAGGCGGCCCCTTGCCTCCTCCTCCGGAATCCCCGCTCCCGACGCACGGGTGGGGCGTCGGCGGGGCCCGCACTCTGTAGGGGGGTGGTCGGCTTTGATTGTCCAGATACAAAACACAGACTGGTATTGAATTCAGCCTGCTCCCAACGTGGGCCCTGCGCCTGGCTCCAGTCAGGGCAACTCCTTGCAAGGTCCTGGCCACAAATCCATTAAAAATGGTCCCCTTTGGGAAAAACAGTCCCCTATAGTCTGAAAGAAAGAAGAGAGAGAGAGAAAGAGCCAGAGAGAGAGACAGACAGAAAGGAAGTAATAGGCAGGAGCATGGGAAGACAGCAATCTCTGAAACCGAGAAATTGTCTTTAAGGACAAGAAAAAGAACAGCAGAATGACAGGAAGGCACGCCAGGCAGGTTCTGTTAAAATGCCCACACTCTTTTCGGATCCTGGGAATGGCCATGTTCAAATAAACAAGAGCCTGAGCGCGAGCGGAGCGCTTTCTTGCTGCCGATAAAGCGAACGTTCATTCTGTGAGAAAGGCGAGATTGATTTACGAATCTGAACGCGCCGGTTTTATGGCTGATCACAAATCCGTCAGCGCTCAACTCACGCTGGGAAACTTCCCAACTCTGTTTTCCAACCAGACTCCCCTCCCCGGCTGGCCACTCTTCCCAGGGAGACCCACCACGGGCGCTGGAGCGGCCTCCAGGGCTCTGGCAGGACTGGGGCAGCCCCTCTGCCCCCGGAGGTGCAAATAGGAGGGCCAACGGGAAGGGCCCGGGACCTGGAGGGAAGAGAGGGCAAAGATGAGGAGTGCCGCTGGAATTATAGAAGATGAGCCCATCCAGCTGGGGGAGCCTGCTGGAGGTGCTCAGCCCTGAAAAGACTGGGGGTCTGGGAGTGAGGGAAAAGGGAAATCTCGAAGCTCTCGCCTATGGGGCTGAAACCCTGGAATGAACCCCAACCTTCCTTTCCATTGTTTCCCTCCTCCTTCCCTTTGATGGACCGACCCCCTCACACTGCAGAGAGCTGCTCCTAAAGTCCCAGGTGACTACAGCTTCCTCACCTGGGCCTCTAGAGGGCCCACAATTGGTTCTCTGCCCTTATGAGTAATGGGTGCATATCTTACATGAGCCCCAAACATTTGCAGTCCAGGAGCGGCCCAGCTCCCTTTCAACTCACTCCCTCTCCTGCCCGAGGCCTCCAGCCGCTGGGTGTATTCTGCCATTCAGGGACAAAGGAGATGGTACCCACCGATGCCAGTTATTTCTTGCCTGAGTTAGAGTCCCCAAGTTACAGGAGACAATTTACAAAATGCAAATCAATACCCCACACACATCCCAGCAAGGTTCTGTCTCTCCTAGTTTTAACTGAAGGAACATTTCCTCTCGTCTCAGCTGGAGTCTCAGTCTGTCTGTCTGCCTGCCTGCCTGTCTGTCTCTCTTTGTCTCTTTCTCCTCCTAAGAGAATGGCTGCTGGTGTGGATTTTAAGATGCATCAAGTAGAACAGAGATTTGGAAAGGCTCCATGTTAGCAAATTCTCCACCCATCTCTTAAAATTAAAAGTTGCTAGAACTTTGGTTACTGTGGCAGAGCTGTCCCTGGAAATGGGCAGAACAGCCTATCCTGACCCTTCTCTCATCTCTCTTGCTCCTCTGGTAGGGAGGTATCCATGAGTCCTGTGAGTAGCTGGGGTGGGACTGGGGATTAGGGGAAGAGGGCATAAGTGATTATAGGAATAGCTTCCTAAACAAAGGAACTTCAGAAAATGGGTTGAGAAGCTGTGGATTTGGATATGAGACCTTGAGAGAAAGTAGCCTCCAAGGGACTGTTGCAGGGGGGGGGGGTGCTTCCCCCTCTTTAGAACCCAGGGGCTTGTTCCCTTAGCCCTCTGAAGCCCTATGGACCTATCTTTTCACCTCCCTTTGTCTTTCTTCCCTCAGCTCCCTCCAAGAGAAAGAGGAAAGAAGGAGGGATGAGCTGGATGGGGGGGGGGGCGGCGTTTAGAACCTGGCCTAGGAAAGGAGTTCTACACAGAAGGCTGGATCAGCACCCTACTTCTCTCCTCCAGCTGTACCCCTAAGCTAAAATGTTTACTTCTTTTCTCCCCAGTGGACAGTCATAGAAAAACAATCCAGAAATTCCCAGATAGCAAAGAAGGGGTTGGGGGCTGGAGGGAGATGCAGAAGGTGGGCCACACAACAGCCCAAGGACCCCTCCCAGCAGAGGTGTGAATTTCCCTCCTGGGCAGGAGTCAGGAGCCAGGAGCCAGGAGCCAGCGCACTGTCCAGTCTCAGAGAGGTCAAGGGGCTTCCGAGGTCATTTTGTGGTTCTAATACTGAGCTAATCGCCTAGAAAACGTGGCCTCTCCATGAACTCTCTCTCCTGCCAGCCTCCTGCCTCCAAACCCACAGTGAGCCCCAGGGTAAAAGGGCCAGCACATTCAGGTCTGAGGCAGAGCCCCCTGGCTCCCTTGCCCCCAGAAGTAGGGCCCCACAAGGGGGAACAGAGCCCCTAAAACAAGAGAGCAAAAGGAAACCAAACTGAACACTGAGCCTCCAGGAAGAAGTGGGGGGGGGGGCAGAGTTGAAGAGGAAGATTCCGGCATCAACGAACCTTGCCTGTAAACGGAACAGTTTCCTGCTTCAGAGTTGCAAATATTTAGTCCAGAATCCCAAGCTAGACACAAAAAGAAAGAAAGAAAGAAAAAAATGAAGACGTCTACCTATACCCTGCTCCAAGCCTGGGGCATTCCATCCAAGAACTGCATTCCATTTTTCCAGGAGGCAGCAGTGACATCTCCCCGGTAAACGGACATATGGGACACAAGCCCCCAGTGTAGACAAGCGAAGTCACAGAACACACGGGCCACATGTGCGTGTCGCTAAACACGCACACATGCTGGACCTCCCCAGGCCCGCCTGCATTTTCCACAACCTGAAAAGCACTTCTGAGCAGCCTCACAAACAACGTTCTCTGGGGTTTTTCAGGGGCCCTGACACCTCAGTCCCAAGCAGTTCAAACACTCTCCAGGTGCAAGGCCCCTCTCTCTCTCCCTCTGACCCAAGCATCAGTCATCATAAAAGGCAGCAAATCTGACCAAGCATCCACCATAAAAAAACCCTCGAAGAAAGTTGAAAAAGGAAAAGAAGGAGGCGAGAGAGTTTCTTCTTCCCTTTGTAAAAAAGCTCATAAAACGATTAAAAAAAAAAAAAAAAAAAAAGACAGCCCAGGCGGGGGCTTTGTTACCTTTGCGCCTCTTGCCTCCTCTGGCCTGAATTCCGCGGATCCCATTCATGACGAAGGGCTTCTTCCAAACTGAGAGAAAAAAGTTTTCAACTTTATGGTTCCAAATTTTTTCCCCCTCGCAGATCCGGGAGAGCCAGCTAACACTTTTTTCCCCCAACAGCCGGTCTGCGGAGATTTGCTGTTGAATAATAACAAAGGAGAGAGGATACGTATTTAAAGAAAAGAAGTGATTAATGGTTTTCTGTATAATTCTCACATTTTTCTTAGCTCTTGTCTACACAGAATGGCTGTGAACTTTAAGCTCCATAGAAATCTTTTTTTATTCTATTCATACCTTCCAAGGAGCAGCTTTGATTTGGTTCTATAGAGACATTCCTGGGGGGGCATATGCTTTTTAAGAACTATTTCCCCCCTCCACTAAGGGCAGCCACATCCCCTGGCAGCTAAACATCACACCGAGATTCGACCGAAACAAAGCTCGCCGCTCTGAGCCTCCAGGTCCGGGCGATTTTTTATGAGGCTTCCAGCGGCATTTCAACAGGGCCGTTCTATGGCCCTTTCCCGCGCTGTGGACACGGGCCCGTGTGTCCTGGGCCCTACCCAGCCTCACACTCCCCGGGCGCGCTGCAAGCCGGAGGAATACAAAAGAAATAACAATAAAACGTGCTGGTGGAATCAGCTATGTTTATTTTCTGGTGGGAGACGGGACCGAAAAACGACTTTTAATTGCGTATGCTCTCTTGAGCCCCAAGCTTTTTGGAGGCCGGTGGGTGGTGGTATCCTGGCCCACCACAAGACCAGAGACCCTGAGGTTGGAGCCCTCAGACCTTAGCACTTCTTTTGGGTGCTGCCCCAAAGTGGCCCGAGCCTGACAGAGCTTGTGAGGGTCACCAGCACCCCCTTCCCATTCCCCCACTCCATTCTAGGGGTGACTGGGACCTCAGAGACAGAAAGCTATTTGGTCCCCAGTCGTACTTTCGATACTTTCTATGAGAAAGAAAATGAAAATTAATACAGGAGCAGGGCTTCACAAAAGAGGCCATTTGTCTTCTTGATTATCTATTTGCTTGTCAGAGTTTGAGCTATGGCATCGGCTAGCTCCTTTGTAATATAAAAATACTCTGAAAACCTGCAAACACCTAGAAACATCTGTGCAAAAAATTAGACTCATTAAAGCTTTAAACACCTCAGAGGAAAACGATACCTTCTTAGGCGGGAGGAAAGACGCCGGCCTCGCAGAATCCTCCCTCCGAACCTTAATAAGCAAAGAGTCGTCTGTCTAGAAAGAGACAGCTTAACCGCATTTTATTTGCTTATGACAAATAAATCACGATATGAAAGGCTTTGCCATACTTAAGCCTCTCGTGTCCTACAATGAAACATTCCCCCCCCCCATTAGGGATTAGAGTCAGCCCTCCCAGTACTTTCAATCCATTTTTGGACTGGAGGAAAAAATTAAAAGCCCCAAACAAAACACACCCACCCCAAAAGGAAAACAAACAAGTTACCACAATTTGGAGTCCTCTGAGACAGAAAGTCCCTTTGGACCCTTTGAAAAAAATCCTCAACCACATCCAATATGAGGCCGAATGGACTGGGATGCTTAACATATACGCTGGGTGGCATTTGTCTGTATCTTTATATCAAGGTTTCAACAAAAACACGCTGTGCTGGTCACAAGAAACCAAACATTTATTTCTATTGTCACTCTGTACAGGACACAAATTTTCACGCCAACGAAGGGTTCTAGACTCAGGTAGCCCCAGAACTAGGAAGGGGCCTGGTTTGGAATGTCAGAGAGCGAACAGGAGAGAGGACGCACATGACATAAAATAATAATAATAATAATAATAATAATAATAATCAATGCAAAACAATGATAAACTATGGGAGAGGTCTCTGCAACATCATCTCCCAGACCGGGAGGGGCACCCTGTTTTATTTGCTAGTTTCACATTCGTTTGCAGTCTAGGAGAGAAGGCCTCGGCAGAACAACTCTAGATTGGCAACAGGGTTGCGCCCAGCTCCCAGAACTCAACTGGCCTCTGGCTCTGCCAGGAACGGCCTGACCTTCCAGAAGTCCCTCCCGTGTCTCCGGGTCTCTCTTTTTTTTTTTTTTCTCGGACCCAACTTCCCTGCCTGCTCCTGCACCCAGGCCTCCACTTGTCCCCTTCCTGCTGCCCCCCAGCCCAGCCTCTTGGTGGAAGGGGGGGGTGAGAAGTCAGTGTGCCTGTGCGGGGGCACTGAAGGGGAGGGCGTGTGTGTGTGTGTGTGTGTTACCGTGGCCAAAACACTGCGCTATCTGGCAGTCACAGGGTGCTTTCGCTGGGTGTCAGGAATGGGGGACAAAGAAAGAAAATCCAGGCTGTGTTCCAGCGGCGGCAGCAGTAAACGCGGCCGAGCCGGGCCTCATTTGTTAGCCGGGTGTCGAGGTAATGGTCGCCACCGAGGCCCATCCTCTCCTCGGCAGAGTAAACAAGACAGATGGGCCTGGGCCTGGCGTGATTAAAGATGAAACGTGGATCCATCTTCGCCAAAGCTGAAAGCAAGGAGTGCAACCTCCTCCTATTTCTCTTTCTGTCTTCTTCTTTCTCTTCTCCTTTTCTTCTTCTTCTTCTTCTTCTTCTTTTTAAGGAAGAAAGCAAGAGACTTGAACCTTGCTTCTGGGGGGGCCTCACCCGGCTCCCTATTGTCATTTCTATAAATAAAGCTTCCCCTCCCCCTCCTCTGCGTTTATTCGTGTAAATAGATAAAGTGGGGGGAGGGCAGGTAGGCTTTTGCGGACCCAGGCCCCAGGGTCCCCTCCCGCATCTCCCCCCGCCCGCCCCCACCCCCGCGCTCACAACCCACCCCCGCCCCGAGGTTCGCGGCTCCCGTGCGGGGGGGGGGGCACTAGAGCGCGGGGGGGCCTCCGTTGGGCCGGCCAGGGGGCCCTCCAGCTGCGCCTGCGGTGCCACCCGAGCGGATCTTGGTGTTGGGCAACTTGTGGTCTTTTTTCCACTTCATGCGCCGGTTCTGGAACCAGATCTTGATCTGGCGCTCGGACAGGCAGAGCGCGTGGGCGATCTCCACCCTCCGGCGCCGCGTCAGGTAGCGGTTGTAGTGAAATTCCTTCTCCAGCTCCAAGACCTGCTGGCGAGTGTAGGCTGTCCGAGAGCGCTTGGGCTCCCCGCCGGCGTAATTGGGGTTTACTGGACACACACACAGAGAGGGAGAAAGAGAAAGTTTTATTGCCCCGAAAGGGAGGAGGGAGAGCTCTTTCTTCCAGCTAGCACAGTGTCTCCCTCCCTCCCTCTCCCGCCACCTCTTCTTCCTCCAGAGGGGGGTGGGGACGCCAAGCGAAGAAAGCGGCCCCCAGGAAGAGATAGAGACCTCAAAGTTTTGGAGGGTTGTGTTGTCTCCACGTTGTTGTTTGGGTGTCTGGAGAGGGGGTGGGGGGCGTAAGGAATCTTCACAAGGTTTTAACCGCTCCTCTCTGCCCCCTTGGCCTGGGGCCCGGGATGGGAGAATGAGGGGTGAAAGAGGGAGGGGGGCTTCCCTAAACCTTTCTTCTGCTAGTTCCCACCCTCTGTGCTCAGATTCCATGTAGCGCCTGCCCCCAGTAAAAACTTTTGCCCACTTCTGAAGCCAAGGAGCCAGACTAGAGGAAAGAAAGGAAAAAATAAATACTGGGAGTTGACTCAACTCTCCCTTCAAATACAGATTACCTCCTCCTCCTTCTCCTCCCCCACCCCACACACCCCTCCCCAACTTGCAACTTCACTGAGACTGCATCTCCCAGGCGAAAAAGTCGCTGGTGAGAATGGCAAAGAGGATGGGGGAACCGACTTCAAAGGCGCGGGGCCCACCAGGCCATAAAAATTTATGGGGGATGTAATTATGTGGCTCTGAAAACAGGCGACCGTAAATCTCCGGCAATGGCGAGTTTATAGCGGGGACAATTGGCTTCCCTCAGCTCCCCCCCCCCGCCCCATGCCTCCGAGGTCCCTTCGGTGTAAAGCACCGGGGGTGGGAGGGGGAAGGGGTGCCCACGCACTCACCCGTGCTCACGTGAACTTTGCGCATCCAGGGGTAGACGACGGGCTCTTTGCACGCGGAGTGGGACGGGCTGGGGTGCAGGGGGTTCTGGGCGCAGGGAGGCGGCGGGGGGCTGCTGCTGACCGCCTCGCAGCGCTGGCCGGGCTCCGGGAGGAGGGCCCCGGAGGGCGGCGGCGCAGGAGCCCGAGGGGACAGC